GCCTGGAGACAGCTCAGAGCTCATGGGTGAGGGTTAAAGGGCAGACCAATGTGGGTAACATTGGGGTGAGCACCAGCTACAGGCTGCCTGATGAGGGAGCAGTAGATGTGATTTTTAAAAGGCAGCTGGAAAAAGCCTCACCTGGTTCTTCTGGTGAATTCAAACCATCCTGGTATCTGCTAGAGGGGGAACAGCGGTGCACAAGCAGTCCAGGAAGTTTCTACAGTAGTGCACTGATGGCATCTTCTTGGTACAGGTCACTGGGGAGCTGATAATAAAAGATGCTCTGCTGGGTCTGATAGTTACAAACAGTGGATGTGAAGATGAAGGGCAGTCTTGAATGTGGTGGCCATGGATGTCAGAGGAGCAGATTTTGACCTGCTTGGGGACCTGCTTGGAAGAATCCTGTGGGATATGATCCAGAGGAGAGAGGAGGTGTCCAGGAGAGCTGATTGTCTTTTAAGGATCACATCTTCCAGACTGAAGATTGGTTCATCCTGATGTGCAGGAAGGCAAGCAAAGGTGGCAGGAGGCCTGGATGGATGAGCAAGGGGTTCCTGACAAAACTCAAACACAAAAAAGGAAGCATGCAAGAGGTGGAAGCAGGGACAGATGACTTGGAAGAACTACAGAACCACTCTCTGAAAGTTCACTGGTGGGGCTAGGAAAGCTGAGGGTTGCCTGGAGTTGAATCTGGCAGTGGATGTGAACAGCAACAAGAATGGCTTCTTCAAGGATATCAGCAGCAAGGAGAAGACTATGGCAAATGGGTGTGCTGATGAATAGGGCAGGACGTTTCGTGACAGAGGACACTGGAGAAGATGAGATGGTTGACTGACTTCATTGGAGGAGGAGGATCAGGCTAGGTGTCCTGGTTTGGGGTGGAACTGAGCTGGTTCTGTTCAGTGACAATTTTCAGCGACAGATCTTCTAGTTAACTGACCTCTCTGAAGTTAGCAGAATGCTTTTGCAAATTGCCTGCTTTTAGCAGTGATAAAACACTTCATGTTTAGAGTTACTGGCAGGGATTGGTGTGCAGACCAAGGTCACTGATAAGCTTGTGTACCACACAGAGGGGAGCAGAAAGTAAAGCTGCACCTGCAGGGGAGGAGTGGACAGGATAAGTGACCCTGAAATTCACCAATGGGATATTCCAACCCATGTCTGTCATATCCAGTAAAAGCTGAAGGATCAGGAGGGGTAAGACCTTCTGTCACCCTTCCATCTCCCTTTGCCTCCTTCCTGGCTTTTGCTCCTTCTGCACTGGCTGGCATCCGAGGAGGACTCCATCCATCCTGCCTTTGATCCCAAGCCCCGTGTTCTGAACTGAGTTCCAGAACCCAGCTCCTGTGCCCAGTCACTGTCTGTGGCTGAGCCCAGCCTGGGACCCTTCCCTGGGGGCTGCTCCCCAGCTGGGGGTGATGTGACATAATGCCATTGGTGAGAGGCAGTTTGGTTCAATACTGGTTTTGTATATATTTGTACACATTCCATTTTATTATCATTATTAGTGTTATTATTAGTGGTAGTATTAAAGCCGTTTTCTTTTCTAATCAATAATTCTTTCTATCTTATTCCCTTTCTCTTTCCATTTGGGGAGGAAGTGGGGTTAACGGAGAGTGTCTGTTACGGTTCAGGAGGTGGCCCTGACCCCAAACCACGGCACTAGGGAATATTTAAATGACCTGGCCATACGCCTGCTGGTGCCTGAGGACTGGAAGGGAGCAAATATCAGTTCTGTCTTCAAGAAGGCTGTTCCAGGGAGCTACAGACCATTCATCTTCTCAGTCATCTTCACCTGAGAAGATGATGGAGCAAATCTTCCTGAAAGCCATCTCCAAGCATATTAACAAGAAGAAGGTGATCAGCATAGATCTATGAAGGGGAAAACGGTCCTGTCAAACTGGACAACCTTATGTGATGAAATCATGAAGTTGATTGAGGGGCAGTAGTGGATGTTTCTCCTGACTGTAGTGAGGCTTTCAATACTGTCTCCCACAGTGTTCTTATTGACAACCTGGTGAAGGTCAGGCTAGGTAAGTGGACAGAGAGACTGGAAATGGCCTGATTTGCCAGGTTTGAAGGGTGGTGTTTAGTGACATGAAGTTTTCCTGGAGGTAGTAACTGGGGATGTATCACAGGGTTTGGTACTGAGGCCAGTACTTGTTAACCTTTTCCTTAAGGACCTTGGTGATGAGACAGAGTACCCTCAGTAAAGGTGCACAAGATAACAGAACAGGAAGAGCTCTAGATAACCTCCTCTAAACTGACCCTACTTGAGCAAAGGGATCAGAGTAGACCATCTTGAGAGATCCCTTCCCACCCCAGTAATTCTGTGATTGTGTGTCCATTGTGTTGCAACTCTACAGGCTCCAGTTGTTTTCCCTGAGCTGGTGCTGCAGCTGTCTGGCTCTTAGATAAGGCAAATGTGTGCCTCAGAACCTCAGCAAGGAAGTTCTGTGCATAAGTATAAATAGTATAGGCTGTACCATTAGTCTTCTTAAACAAGAGGCAGAAAATGTAATTATAAGCAAGCTTTCCTTATCTCCTTTGTTAAATAGAAACATCCCTGCAACTATCCCTCTTAGTAAGGACAAATGTTTTAGAAGAAGAATCTTGCTGTGTCTTGTAGTAAATAACCAAGACTGCTCAAGGGACCAGTCCTTGGATGAGTGTTGAGGTTAAATGTGCAGAGCACTGGTCTGTGCTGCTGACTGCTCAGCCTTGGCATCCTTAGAGAAGCAGAGAGAAATCTGAAATCCCAAATGGTACTTTTCTGTTGGAGGGAGCTTCTTGTAAGCGCTTGTTTAAAATGAGTTTGCGGTGATGTAGAATTTGTTTGACAACCTTAGAGACTCAGAAGTTTATGCCAAAAATGACTAGGGCAGAGACAGGGGAGAAGTTATCTTGCCCACATCTCTGAATTCCTGGCTGCATCTGTTGAAGAGTTAAGAAGAAAGAAAAGTCATACCCAAAAAGTCATGCCCACCTAAAGAATAGTAGCAGCATGGCAGCTGGCAAATCAAAATTACCTACCGAGGGACTCCAGAAGTTTTAAAACAGTGAATTTTTAAATTACCTTGGTTTCACATGTTTGGATCCTCCCTGCAAAACATTCTGCTGGGTTAAAATGTCATTAGTCCTTTATAGTAACCTTTTTGGTGATACTGTAGACTTGCTGTAGAGAAGCAACATGTAAAATGTCCTCTCTCCATCTATCGCTAAATACAATCAGCTAATTTTACTGTTTCAAAAACTGGGGCTGTAGTTTTATCTCCCTGTATTTAGAGGTATGTCTCTTGTCTGAATTGATACAAATAATACAGGAAGAGAGAAGCTGCTGTGGCTGACTGACTGCCTGCGAGCCAGAAGCAACTTCTTGTTCAGTTAGCAAGCAAGAAGCAAGCCTGAGGAAGTTGCCTGGTTCGCAGGGTGTTGCTACAAGTGAGAAGGGCTCTGTAGTTGTTAGGTAACTGCAGGTGTTCTGTTCCCCTCCTTCTCCCAGACATGTTTGGAATCTGAACTAATGTAGTGAGTAAAATTTAGTTACCTTGTCAAGTAGAGAACTGATTTTTTTGTCTTTTTCTTTTTTATAGTAAGAACATTAAAAAAGGAAATACGGGGAAATAAATTGTTGATCAGCGTTAATGTGATACAAGCAGGCTACTTAGTATTTAATAGAAAAATAACACCCACCCCCAAAAAAAAAAAAGCTTTCAAAATTCTTTTACGCTTTCCAATAAGTGCAGGATGTATCAGGGCTCCATTTGAAAGTGTTGCCTGGGGTGTTTGTCCAGCTCTCCAGCAGGACATCCCTACTTCACATGTGGTGGCTTCGTCAGTGGGAAATTCCCAAGCTGGGTGTTGGTGTCCTGGGATGGGCTGCCCAGAACAGTACCTAAATTGAACCGTGGCTCTGTGGGATTTCTGTAGGTGCATGAGCATAGACTAAAGTGTGTACTAAATAAGGAAAATATATGGCATTTACTTGTTTGCAAAAGTTTTAATGTTGACAGTGATATTGGTAGCCTCTAAATATTTTTTTGAGACTTTTGGTTGTCAGGTCCTCTGCTCACTGAATATTTCCCAGTCTTTAAAAAAATCTGGCTGTTGGTCTCCATACTTTGATACCTTTTTAATAAAAGGTGGATGGTAATATTGCCCTGCCTTCTGACGTTATTGTGAATACCAGCTAAACTTGTGCAGAGGCATTGTGAGTAGCTGGAAAACCTTGGGGGAAATTTTATAAGGCTGTTGTCACATTGTAACTTGCTGTGGCACCTGCGTGTGTCCAGTAGCAGATCAGCGCTCCAGAACTGAGAGCCCAGCACCCAGCTTTGTACTGATTCTGAACTGAAGTGCATGAGTGAAACGTTTACAGTAAATCTTCTCTGTCAGTGTCTCTGTGCGGTGTTCAAATGTCATTTTGATGAGCGAGGTGCAGAGATATTCAGACTTTCAAGGAGGCACAGGAATGCAATGAAAAATGAAGGACCAAGTTCTGAAATTTTTGCCAGGGCTGTGAGTTTGTTGTATACAGCCAAGTAGCTGTGACAGTGATCTGGGAAGACCGGCAAAATGTGAGTTAAGTGTGACTAGGTAGATGAAGCCTCTGAAGTTTGTTGAGGGTGGTCATTTAAGTGTTTGTTGATGTGAATATCAAAGCAGATTTATAGTACTTTGACTTATTAATGGAATAGGTGTTCAGACACACTCTTTACCTCACTGTTGCTGTGGTAGGGCACAAAGCTCCAACTAGGAAGATAGGGAACGTAAGTGGGCATAATGATAAATGACAAACATGATACCAAATCATGATCAATTTTCATGCTTAACAGAAATTTTCATCTTAATGTATTTCAACAGCCTCTTCAGTTTGTGCTGGAGTTTTGGAAAAAAATGTCTTACTGAAGAGCATAAATCCAACTTGCTGTAGGATTTGTAATCTGTATTATGCTTTGTATATACAGTTGAGAATTAATATAATCTTATGTTGTGTTTTAAATGCATTGTGGAAAACTGTCACAAGCATGAAGGGGGGAATATTTATCATGTATGTCACTAGTTCTATTTTTCTGTTTGTTGTGTTAGTTAACTGTAATGTCAAAACAGCTAATGGTATGGTTGAAATGATTTCTGCCTTGCTTCTAGGGATCAGATGATTGCCTTGTAAAAATCTGGGCCACAGATGATGGAAGGTTGTTGGCTACCCTGAGAGGGCACGCAGCTGAAATATCTGATATGGCAGTGAACTATGAAAACACCATGATAGCTGCTGGAAGCTGTGATAAAATGATCAGAGTTTGGTGCCTTCGAACTTGCGCACCCTTGGCAGTTCTGCAGGGCCACAGTGCCTCTATAACATCATTGCAGGTAGGTGTTTGCTTTACCAACTCACCTGAGCCATAAAATGCATCATTTGACTGAAAAAGGAACAACTCAAGAACGTTCTGAGTAGTAGGAATGTGTGCCTGGCAACTGGGCCGTGAAGTGAGAAGTACACATTGTGAAATAACATGTTTATTGTCAAAATGCCTAACACTTGAAATATAATCCTTGTTCAGAAAAATGGCATGACGTGTGGGAAGTATCCTTCCTTTGCAGGCTGTGATTCTGAGCACAGGTACATTGAGCAAGAGCTGCAGTCACTGCTGAATGCTTTGATTTGTTTCTGTGCAGAGTTGCATGGTGTTCCACAGCTTGGGCTGTGGGGAGGAAGAACCCAGAGTGCTTTGGCAGGTAACCCAGAAGGGTTGTTCTGAAGGGAGAGAGTGACTGAACAGCATGACGTTGCTTGGGTTCTATTGCAATTTATTTTCTTTAAGGTGCTTGATTCAGACTTTTTTTGGGGGGCGGGGGGGGTGAGAAGTCAATGAGTTGAGGAACTTCTTAGCACACCTGGAACAGATTAACAGGAGACCTTGTCTTTTTTTCTTCCTTCCTTCCCCTCAGTTCTCTCCACTGTGCAGTGGCTCAAAGAGATACTTGTCTTCAACCGGGGCAGATGGAACAATATGCTTTTGGCTGTGGGATGCTGGCACCCTTAAGATAAAGTTAGTTGCTGTTTTTATTTGTTGCTATTTCTTTTTTTTTTTTTTTTTTTTTCTTTCTTTTAAATTAAGAATGATGTACTAATGGAGAAAAAATTGACTAAAAACTTGTTGCTGGCTGGTTGACTGTGCGATTGATTGTTGGGTATGATCTGTTTCTGATGTTGTTATAGCTTGCTTATCTTTGAAGAACTAAGTTGATAATATAATGTTTTGTGGAGTGAAGCAAGTAACTGTGCATCCAGTTTTGCTGTATCTATTTTAGTAAAAAAGCATAATAGTCAAAGTTTGCACTCTGTTTCTCTCCTCATCTTTTAATCCCAAAGGAAATGAAAATTCCGTTGATAAATTTAGACTGGAAAATGCAGGTTTTTTTTCGAGGTGATAATGTCCTAGTATAAATTAGAGTGGGGTATTTTAGGTTATCCTTACCTTTTCATAGTTGCTCTTTACTGTAGTATGGCAGGAGGCAGAATTCTTGAGCATCTGTGTATTGGTGGCTGCACTTGAGCCTGAAGTTTCTGCCTTCAAAGTATAAGATTTTAAAAATGTGGTCAGGACTTTCAAATAGAGAGAGTTTTTTAAAATTAACTTGTTCAATGGCTTTCAAACGTTTTTTGTTCCTTCTCCTTTATCACAAAACATCTGTAGCTTAAAACTGGAAATAGTTAGTTTAGTAGTATTCATTAGCAATTTAGCTTTGGGGATGGGATGTGTTCTTACGGATATACTCTCCTGGCAGGTAGGTTCCATTTTCTTGTAGTTCTGGTAGTTGCTGTTAGGATCTCCTTGCAGTGTGCTAAAGTCTTGTAGGCACATTTGCCAGGATACGTGTATAGTTTCTGGACCTCTGTTTCGATGTTCTCTGGGTGTTTTGGCTCTTTTTTGATACTATAGGTGAAGCTGCTTCTCAGGCTGTTAATCATCTGCTGCCTGGTGCATATTGTAGTTAAAGTAAGACTTTCCTTCTTACACAGAAGAGGAGGAGGTGGCCTATATGCTTATTTTTAATGTGTGAAGGAGAGGAGTTGCCACCACGTTATTCTTCTTAAGGTCTTTTTAAGTCTGAGCTCTTGTTGACAAGGTGAAATCTTAATCTGCCTGATACGTAAACCTTTTGAGCCTACATGTTTGTCTTTTACTTTTATCCTGTCTTTTTTCTCCTTTTCCTACATAAAGTTTGAGTCTATGGAATTGAATTTTCAAACAAATTGTCATTAGCGAATAGCAGAATCCATGGTACTGAGGTGGATTATACTATACGAGATGGGAGATGAATGTTTAGAATTATAAAAGAACGAATCACAGAGCTGGATGGGATTTGTCTTGAGGTAAAACCTGGGGAGAAAACTGGCATCAGTCACGGCAGAGGATACTCGTCTGATTCCTTTCCATGGTGATATGTAAATGTGGAATAAAAATTTTTATTTTTGCAGTTGGCAAATATTAGAGGAAGCCAAAACTTTTGCGTAAAGCTTTCCTGTGTAAGTTGTTGGAGCAGATGTGGTCAGACAGTGGCGTAGAGAAGATGGATCAGCTCAGCTGTCTCGTGCAGCACAGCAAGGAAGTGGTCTGGTAACTTGGGCCATGCCAGTGACTGAAGTACATTCTGAGGCTGGTATTGGGACTGTCCTTACCTCCTGTTCTGGAAGCATTTTATACTTTGTGTTTGAGAAGGCACAGGGAACTCTTTAAGCTGAGTTTCTTTAGTCTGGGAAATGATCGATGAATGCAGATGAGACGCGTACAGTCCAGAGTGTCTTGAGGAGGACATATAGTGAGTAATTACTTGTTGGCCCGTATTGTACTAGAGGGTATTAAGTGAAGGCAGCCAATTCCAAACTGGGAGGAGATGGCTGTTTACAAAACACACAGTTAAGTTAGGAGACTTGTTGCCACAGGGTGTTACGCTTTATATGAAGATATTAAGAGGCATCACTGCTTTTTCTACTCTTACACATCCAGTTTTGGGTACTTCAGGGGCAGGATACTGGTCTTAGATCTTTGTTTGAAATTAATAGGCTTGTAACATTTGAAATCAATGTTTTTTGATCCAAACTAAAACTTGATAAAAATACAGTAAAGGCTAAATAAGAAATGGGTATGTCTTTTGGGACTGGACCGTAACTGTATGTCATTATACTGAAATACTTGGACACACTAGAAAAGTCTAGTGTAGCTCTTCCTGACTTGAGCAGTGTACTAGTTTAGGGGAAGTTGTTTACAGGAAGTTTTAATTAGCGTGCTAAACTGTAAACTCTAACTGTGGTTGTCATGCTTACTGCAGTAAACAGTAATAAATTATATTGGGAGACTAGGAGTCCAGTGTAGTTTTCCCCAAGAAGGCTGCATTGTATGGACAGTGCATCCCAGTAATGGATACACAGGTTGTCAATTACAGTTTTTGGTGAAGTGGTTGCACTGCCTTACACTTTTAGATTTGGATTGGCTTCCAGAACTGCAGAAACATGGCAGGTTCCCTCCACATCCATTCATAATGTGCTGGGGGAAAACAAGTGCCAGGAGTATAAAAGCATCAAAGGAAAGAAAGATTCCTGTTATTGTGAGATTGTTTTTTTTTTTTTTGTTTTGTTTTTTTAAAAAAACATGATCTGTAAGTCATCTGGAAGAGAGAATAACTGGTGGGGCGGGAGATTTGTCCTTCTCATTGCTATACTAAAAAATATGAGCCGCTTCTGTTCAGTATCTCTAAAAAGGAGGAAAGCTGGCAGAGAAAATAAGATCTTTTACCACAGTTACTCAGGCTCTGAGCTTGCTGCTCTGTATATCCCGGTTCCAGCAGCTCTCCCACTCCAGGAAGGAGAAATGGGAAATTTTCATCAAGACCAAAAGATCCAAGTAGTAGTGCAAGTGAAGGGTGCTGCCACGTGCTTTATTTCATGCTCCTCCTGAGCTTCACTGCAATCTGTCCTTCAAGGATACAGTTGCTATCAGCGATGAAAGTTTCATTAAATGGTCCAGTACTTCACATGGGGACTGGTGATGGGAGTCTTGAAATTATAGCTGTTTAAAAGGGAAGGGTGAAAAAAAATATATACATACCCCACCACTTACTTTTTATACTCATCACTGCTTGAATAATCTGGCAGTGAGTTAAGATTATGAGCTGTTGGGCAGCCTCATGATGATCATGTGGTTGATTGTAGTTTCAAGATGATTGGCAGCACCAGCAGTACTTTGCTGAAACTTCTTCATGAAACAGGGAAAGGCAGTGTTTGGATATACTGTGTTCAGTGTGCTCTCAAACTAAAAATAATCCATTTTATTCTTCACTGCAAATGTTTCAGTGGAACGCAGCTTGGATGGTTAAGAGTGCTGGATTGTCTCCCTGTCTTTAACTGAGAATTTGACTTAGCCCTCCTGGGAAGAACTCCCTCTGAAGGGAATCTTTCCCTGTCAGCTTCTTCAGGGAGTGAGGAAAATTTTTCTTTATTCCCCACTTATAAAATAAAACAAAATATTCCACAGCAAATTTATATCTCAACAGATCATGAAATACTGGAAGGCTCACTACCTTGAAAACTGTAGTATTTGCCATCAAAATGGACTTTGAAATCCTTTAAGCCTTCTAATGTCTAGTGCCCTATTACAGTTCTGTGTTCTGTTTGGGTGTTTTATCTTTGCAAATGTTTATTTTGTTTCATTCTTTCATTACAAAGACCTTTGTATTCAGCCTTGCTGGCAGCTCTGCTGCAGTATTAATGTATCTCTGAAATGAGAGGCTTCCCCCAGTTTTTTGATAACCTCATTAGTTGAGGCGTGTTAAGTATCTAGGTCACACACATGGCCCAGGCATGAGGTACTTGGTGGCAGAGCTCTGTTTTGATAAATTGCAAAGGGACACATTTGAGTAGATCTGGTGCCACAGAATGAAACACAGACACTGGCACAGCTGGCCTCAAAATTCTTATGTTCAAAGGATGATGATTATCCTTGTTCTCCTGCTTCTGTGACCAGTGAGGATGCATGTTCTTCAGTATTACAGAGCATCCTGTGTGCCCCTCTCCTATCAGTGAAGGGATTTCTGACCAGGCAGTTGCCATATGTGCCTTAAAGGCAGTAGCATTCCCAGGAGGTTAATTTGGTTCCCATATAGGGAAACAGTAAGGTTGGTTGTTGCTGCAGGTAAGGAAGCCAAGGAACGTGGCCCAGACAATGTGGGAAAACAATTAAGAATTTAGGCAATGAAGACTTTGACCATATTTAGTCTTCTGTTGTTATTCTGGATGGTGATAGAAAACACTGAAGTTAAATCCAACTTGTATCAGTTGACAGTGGGGAGAAGAGAGAAAATCAGTTTTGGGTCATCAGAAATTGCTAAAGAGAAGTTAAATTAGTGGCACTGCAAAATACTTGCATATGTATCTTTTCTGAGAAAGATGCTGAGTTCTCTTTTTCTTTTGCCACCTGTCTGGATCACAATTTTCCAGTGTTAGTCTGTTACTGGCAGACCATGTGAACCAGGCAGCAGAACAGTCTCACAGATTTGGGTAGAAGAGCTTACTATACTGTTGTCCTTCTTTTCTATTCCCCCACCCTGGCCCCATAATTTTAAAAACAGGAAAAAAACTTAGGGAAGACACATGCTGATGATTTTGATGTTCCTGTTTTGGACAAGGTGTTGATTTCTCAATTGTCATTGGTGCAGTGTGATACTTCCCATCTGCTTTATTGAGCAGAAGGCCCTTGAAGCTAAAGGGGCCAGTCATACCAACATTCAGATATGCTCAACCTTGTTCATTAGGTTGTGAAGAAAGATTTAATTTGGAGAGGTTATATCACACATCTGTTTCCTGGGAAGAAGTCTTGCCTGAGCCACTCCCTGTCCAGAGCAAGGTTAGTCTGCAGGGCTTGGATTAAAATGCCGCATTTTGGAGAAGATGAACTTGAGCCGTGTGTGTGAGTGTGTCCCTTAGTGGATGCACAGAGAACAAACTGCTTCTGTGCTGCTCGGAGTGCAGGTTACTGTTTTTGACTGCATCCCCTCTCATTTCTGGATTTGTGCTGAACTTAAAGCAGGTCTTCTCGAGGAGGAGAGTGGTTTTACTAGGTCTTTTCTGGGCCTCCCTATAAAATTTTTGTGAAGGTACGTTAGTTCCTTCCACCCAATGAACAAATGAAAGTACTTGTAGGGTGAAACAATTAGCTTGGTTTCTGTATGTTGGGAGAAATTATGCTTTTGTCCCCTTCCCTTGCTTCCCAAAAATACTGATTGCCCAGCTCATTTTGCAAAGATTACAGTTGCTTTATTGTAAAACAATGTCATAATCCTTTGTCTCCTAATGCCTAAAATAGCACATATTAGAGAGGCATAAGTTGGAGAATTTAGCTTGGTTATCCAAACTAGAGTGTAAGTGCATAATTGCTCTATTTTGCAGCTGTCCTAACTCCAAAGGCAGAGTCCACAAACCACAGTGGAAGAAAACAGCAGCCTATTTATCTATTTACACTTGCTCCAATTTATGTAAGCTGCATATTGAATCGATAGTTCTTTTTATGTTAGTATCTCGGTTAAGAAGGATTTCAACTGTTCTGTAGAATAGCTTTTTGTCTTGTTTAGTGTATCATGTTGTGAAGTTTCCTTGTCGTGAGTCTGCAGGGAGTTGCCTTAAAACCCTAGATGGAAGTTCACAGAAATAGCCAATACTAAGTGGCCAGTTTGGAGCTTACCTGGTAGTCCTGGTGTTTATTACTTTGTTTCATGCATAGGCACTACTAAGGTTTAATGCTTAACTACTTTCTTGGGGATACCAATAGCTGCTGAGTGGAAAAAGGTCTCTTATGCATGTGTCTTCACCTGAAATGAATTATATGGACCATTTTGCTTTTAAAAGAGAAAAGTCTGGATAAGTTATGAATATGCATTCCTTTAGGTTAAAACAAATCTTTAGTGATGGCACTTGTGGGTGTAATGCTGCTGTTCTCTAGTCAGCTTATTCTCTGAGTGGAAACTGTGGATGGCAGACTACGCAAGACCACCTACTGATGAGGCTGCTGCAGTGCAGGAGCAGACTTGAAGCAGCAGTTAAAGAACCAGATCTGTTTTGGTTTGAATTTGGCATTTCAAAAGTGCTTGCAGTGTCCTGACATTACTTGGGCTATATTTGAAACTAGCCCACAAAGAATATATGCCCTCTGAAGAAACTGTTATATTCTAATACTGTGAAAAACTCTGGATTTATTTCCATTTCTTCCATATTCTTTTCTATAAAGAGCACCAAGCTCTGCTTCTCTCTTGCAAAAGCAACTGTGTGCTGCAGAAGACCATAGTTCCAGTACACCCAGTTGTTTAAAACTGAACATCATGGGCATCTGCCTTCAGTGTCTTCGGTTCTGCTTTAAAGACTTAAGGAGAGTGCTTTATATAGACACATCAGAGGGGGAGAGGGGAACGGGATTTAAGTTGCAATACAGCTCCCCTTGATATATGGATCGTTTAGTCCATCTGGATGTCTTAGTTTCCTAAAGATCAGATCATGAAGCATAGTCACACAAAATTGTTTATAGATGGGCAGCCATCTGTTCCTTCATATTTAATTTTGTCCTGTGCTTTATTTCTAAGAAACTGACTTATTTTTTTGAAGCCTTATTAAGAAATTATTTAACTGTTTCTTTATTTGTAGTCCAAGGCCAACAAAGTTTACAGAACGCCCTCGACCTGGAGTCCAAATGATCTGTTCTTCTTTTAGTGCTGGTAAAAGACTTTCTGTGTGTGTTGTTTTGTTTTTGTTCTTGGTTTTTTTTTTTTTTTTTCTTGTTATCAATAGAAGAAATAATTTGGAGAGTAAAATGAAGTATAATACACTTACTATAGCATATTTCTTGTTAATAAGATGGAATTGAGTTAAAGTAGCTATTAAAAAAACCCCGAATATTTAATACGGAAATCCAGAATCTATGCATTAACTCTGGTGATCTGGAAATGTTGAAAGTAAGTTTTTTGTGACTGCAAGTCATTTAAAACACAGTGTGTACCTTAAAGTAATTCTGCGTGTCATCTTTATCTGAGATAGCATTTATAGGGGTTGGGACAAGACAGTGTTGCTTACCAGGTTCTCATGGTCTGAATTTCATTGATTGCAGAGTTGGCAATTGAAGAATGCAACATAAATAATTGGATAAAATATCAAAAGGACAGAAACTTATTTTCAGAAAGCATACTGGAGCTCTATCTCCGTTCACTTTCTTTTAAGGTTGAGGCTTCTAAGGGCTTAGTTCCAGATGAATTACTGTAGTTAGCTCATCTTTCAGATATGTCTGCAGATGCATATTTATCTGACAGCAACTCTGAGGTAATTCAACTCCAGTTAAACTTCTGAATTTTGAAATCTTGTTTTTACTTAGGTCAATTACAGGCATAGCTGAAATGAGATATAGCTAAAATTTAAAAGAATAAATTTAATTATTTGATGTTACAGCTGTTTGAAAATACTGTAATAACATTAGATTGCCCTTTTTTCTTAAGGCTTATCTGTTTGTTTTTCCTCAGGTGGAATGTTTTTGGCCACTGGGAGTACAGATCACATCATTAGGGTTTATTTCTTTGGATCAGGTCAGCCAGAGAAGATATCAGAGTTGGAGTTTCATACTGTAAATACTTTTTTTCTTTTTTAAATTACATATGGATTTGATTAAAATAGTAATTTGGATAAACATGGATAATTTGGAATCCATTGATGTATTTTTTTTTTTTCTTTTTCTACTCTTACATAGGATAAAGTTGACAGCATTCAGTTTTCCAATAGTAGTAGCAGGTAAGCGCACAATTGATTTATTGAGAGCTAGTTTTTTTACCTTGTGTACATTTGTAAATACCAGTTTCTGGAAGTAGTTGTAAAAAATAGCAAATTACTTTATAATTTGGGGTTCATCCTGAAAAATAATCTGTAACTATTGTATTATCTCTGTTTTATTTTAATAACACTCCTTCAGTTTTACAGTTGTTTTCATTGTAAGGAATGATTTATGTATTTTCAATTTGAGAAATTTAAGGAGTGTAAAAACACTGAAAGTTTCTCCTTCAGAAATGCCCATGTACCTGTGTTCACATATAAAATATACATGCACTTTTAGATATATTTAAATACTTAAACCTTTTTTCAGTTAAGTGACTGTTAGATACAGGAAAACTATCTGACAAGATCGAACAATATTTTATTTAGCTAGCCTGTTGTTTTTTTAATGTTTCATTTTAAGTTTGGGTGTTGGATATGAAAGATTCTAAAGAAAACAGTTCAGTTTATTATGAAGTTTTTGACACTTCATTTAACTAATGTTCTAGTGTATGCTTTTATTATGATACAAATAGTTATAACCCAAACTGCACTGGGCTGTACCCATCTCTTTCTCCTCCTACCCTTACACCCCAGAAAGGGGGAAGGAAAAGGGGGAGAAATCTAAACTGGGAAATGCTTCTTTGGATAGGTGTCATAATAGTTGACATACAGTACTAGCTTATTTGGAGTAGGTTTTATTCTAAATCATCTCTGTACTTCTGCTTGCCGGGCTCTCCTGGCCCTGCAGCTGTTTAACTCCTTAGCTTTACCTGTCATGTTAGGCTCTGTTTCTTAGAATGCTCATTGGATTGTGATGTCCCTGTGCTAGAGCAGTGTCATAACTCAGCAAGGTGTAACAAAGGTCAGGGTAAAGTTAGTTTCGAAAGGACTCAGGATAGGGAAGCAGGTTCCAGTTTTTTTAGGCCGCCTTTTTTTTCCTGGCATGGGAAGTTTTCTTACCTCACTCCAGTTGTACGACATTCTTACACTGTTTGGACCTTCTTACTTACAGCTTCTTTTTTGAGTTCTGAATTTTGGAACTTCAATTTTGAAGTGTTTTTTTTGTTTTTTTTTTTTTTTTCCCCCCTGTACATCTTTGCCTTTGATCTCCAAGTAACTTTTTTCCCCTTTTGTTAGATTTGTAAGTGGAAGCCGGGATGGAACAGCACGAATCTGGCAATATAAGCGGAGGGAATGGAAAAGCATTTTGTTGGATATGGCTACTCGCCCAGCAGGGTAAGTCATGTAAAATGTTCTCCTGTCAGATAGATACTTGAGGGCCACTGATATAATTTGCTGACGTATTGGGGAGGAATAAAGGAGGAGAGGGAAGACTGTCTTAAATTATTATTGCTTAAATGCACAATATGCTTGTCTAGCTCTTGACATCCAATGGAAACAAATGTTTGACTACATATTCAGCTGTAGAAACTAGCTTTTCCTGATAATAGCTCCACTAGTGTTATGATTAGATGAAAAGAATAAAAGATACTCAAAACCCATTAAAGGTAAAATTTATACAGCTTTTTACATAGGTATTTTATTTCTGGAGCAAGAAAACCAGGTCAGATGTGTTCTTGAGACTGCTTGCATGTTAGTAATAATTAAAGATATTGTGGAATCTGCATGCCCAGAAAAGCTGTATTTGAGTTCTTTCATACCACATGCCAAAGCAAATCAATCTCTTGCTCTGTAACAAGTTCTCATTTCTTAAAACAATCTGACAATTTACAAGGCTTTGTGGGTGTGGGAAACTTCTGTACATTAAAACAAGCAACAAGAGGCCTGAAGGTGGAGAATGTCTTAGTAGGAATTTCTACTTAACCTTTTTATTTTGGCATGGAGGAGATGTTTTCCAACTGATGTACATTAGAATGATGTATAAAAGGTTTAAGGAGTTAACCTTTTTTCCCCTTAGTGATCATAATGAGTGTTTTGAATGATAGTAGAGGGGGAAAAAAAAAAAGAAAATGGTTTCAAGAGTAATCCTGTGGAAAGATGTCTAAATGGCTAAGAAAAGAAAGGAAGATAAGGCTAAATAAGCTATAATTTAGTTATGTTTAGGTCTGAGTGTGTCTTGTCAGTTATGGGCAGATGGAAGAAAACATGAATATAAAACAGTTGGGCAAGAGTGCACAGAACGCTGGTACTTTGAGAACAGACTGAGTTACTCTGTCTTGAAAATGCAGCTGTAAAAATTCTTGGGCTTAACTGATGCTGGGAAAAATAGGAATGGATTCTTCATCATTGTGAGCACAAATACTGAACTTCCTTGAGAAACTGAACTCATTTCACTGAAGGACCTTTAGCTGAATTCTGGTTTGTCCTTTTGACTACAGGGGTAAGTGCAGTTCCAAATTCAATCTTTTCTGCACAAGCACAACCTTATCAAAGAAAATGAAATTGCTGCACTGAAAGGAAAGAATGAATTCAGCTTACAAAGCCTCCTGGGTTCTGCATTGAATCTAGAAGGGAATCTGGCTACAACTACATTTTCTGTAGTTGAGATATCCGATATTTGCTACCGTGTAATGTATTGTAGTACTGACTGAAGATTATTTTGTCTGCCTACTTGGTGGTTGATATGTTAGTGTTGCATTTGGTTGATGGTTTTTGGTTGGTGATTTAATTGATGAAATTAATATGCTACAGAATTCAGTGGTGATTCATCTTTACTCCAAAACTACATTTTTGTAAAGGTAGTTTATTCTCATAATTATATTACAGATTGCTACTTTTTGGTTTTCATAGGGCTAAAAATAAAACACATGCAAGATTAAGTGCTATTGTTACTGGTGATAAAACAATGTAAAGTGATGGTATGTTAAGTACTAAATAGTCTGAGAATTTAACTAATTTAAAGCTATAAGAATACATCTCTTCTTATTTATAACTACTAGTTACAGATATTCTCCAGGACAAATTACTGTTCACTGGATGACTGGTCTGGATTTTTGCTCTTGTGACAACAAATGTCACACCAAATACTATAGCTATCAAAATTAATTGGGTCAGGTCATGCATCAGAAGGCATTTTCTGGGAAAAAAAAAAAGATCCACATATATTTTCAGACATTAAGAGGACCCTATAGTCATTATTCAAACATCTATAATTCTTTTGTGGTTGTATGTGATAGTGATATGTAATGGGAAAAAAAAAATCATTTCTCCAGTTTCTAGAAATAATGCTTCCATTTTTAATAAATAAAGGAAAATATATGGAAATATTCTCACTTTTTAGGGACATAAAAACGTTTTGGCAAACTAGAACTGCTTTGAAACATTTTGCTCTTTTGTTTTAGGCAAAGTTTACAAGGAGTTGAAGATAAAATCACAAAGCTGAAAGTGACCATGGTGGCATGGGACCGCCATGACAATTCTGTTATAACTGCAGTAAACAACATGACCCTGAAAGTCTGGAATTCTTTCACTGGCCAACTCATTCATATTCTTATGGTAAGGTGTTCCACCTTGTTTTAATCCTGAATGCAAAATTTGCATATGCATCGTTGCAATTCTTCCTTATTTTTTTTTCCTGTCTGAAAACTGCCTTAACAAATGTTTCCAGATAATTGAAGTGTAATAGAGATGTCTGTCAGCTGCTTATTAGGAAATAAAGCTTTAAAGTCACAAATAACCATTGCTGTTCAAGATGTCTGGAATTAATTTTGGACTTTATTTTTCCTAAAGTGCTAAACTGAAGGAAAGGGAAGCAGTTGTTTCTTTTTACCTTTATTGAATGTGACAAATGTTTTGAAATATCATTCATGGATAAATGTCCCCTGTTTAAACAGAGACACTTCTGAAACCTAATCGTTCCATGACTACAAAAGAAAGTCTTCTAGCTAGAAAAAAATCAACATTTTTACTAATATCTGATACTTTTTGTTTTAACTGAGAAAATAGGTAACTCTATGTAACTAGATGCTCAGCTAGAGATGGAAATATTTAATGCAAACTGTTAAAATTTGGTATTAATTTTAGAGATGTTATATATTTAATTCTTTATGAGTGTAAATTAAATTTTCTAATGACTGCTCTGCCTAAACAAATGGAAATCTGTGGAGCGTTAAGACCAAAGCTACTGAACATTGTGGACTCTCATCTTTTAAAATCACAGTGAAAGTATTGGGACATACTTGTTGAGAAGGTGACATTCTTGACATACTTCTTAGGAAGCTAAAGTTGCAGCTGGAAAGAGAAGAGTGTAACAGGCTGATACAGAAAAAAAAAAAATTGAAATGAGCAGTCCAAGTAGTTGTCCTTGCTAGACACTTTCATAGGCTAACGTTGCAGTTGCTGGTGTTACCATACTGAATTTCTGAGTATTTGAGACAATTCTCTTGCTCATCTTGCTGTACCTTTAATTTCAGGGACATGAAGATGAAGTGTTTGTACTTGAACCTCATCCATTTGATCCAAGAGTTCTCTTCTCTGCTGGACATGATGGAAATGTCATAGTTTGGGATTTGGCAAGAGGGGTCAAAATCCGGTCTTACTTCAATATGGTAATTATTTTGCTTTATGCACATATGACCAAGCAACCTTTCTAAACTTTTTTTTTCTTCTTTTAATACATTCTTATGTAGGCCATCTTGAAGCGTGTGTTTGTGCATAGGGCAATATCCTGCACCCTGTGAAGTCAAGAGAAATTCCTGTTTGGTTTAGTGGGGCAAAGATTAAATCTGTAAATTGTAAGAAGTTGTTTCTTTAGCTGTATTTCATGGGTGTCATCTTCCTGCGTGCTTAATCCACGTGGCATTGGAGTGGTAGTTTACATTGTCAGAGATCATGAGTAAGAGAGACAGGGTGACAGAGATCCTCCTTTAGTGCTCTGTTTCCTCCCTGGGGAACCAAGGTGGAACTTGGTTTATTTTTGCATTACTAATTCTTAATCTGGCTAAAGCTCTTCAGGAGTCCCCTGATCTCATACAATGTTGTTACATGCTGCCTTCACCCATTGGACTGAATACTGTCAGCCTTTCTGTGTAGAGCTCCTCCACGTGCAGGTTTCAAATTTGGTCTGTTCTGCACTAAACTAATTCTTCTGGAAGATGGATGCAACAGGTATTTCCATCTGCTTCTTGATATTAAGTGGGTCTTTATACATATCTTTTTCCTCTAAAAGGTAATGATGTGTTATGCAATTCAGACTTTGACTCCTGGAGAAAATCACAAAAATATTTGCAGAATGTGAGGAATCATTGAGAATGCTGAGAGTAGACAAATGGGCTTCATCTGGCCTTCAGGAATGGTGGAATGGCAGTCTTGGAGACAAGCATAAAGTAAATCATCTGAAGAGCCCTGCCATATGTGTACTAACCAAAAAAAAGGGCGATTAGAAATTAAATGAAACCAGGAGAGTCACTCTGAACCTAAAAATTTTGAGATGTGCAGTGTGCAGTAGTTTCTAAAGTCTCTGAGGAAATTCTGCCAAGTTTAACGGGAGAGCGAGCAGCCTGGACTCCAGCACTGACCAGGGTTCAGTGTTGTTCCCTCTGCATTGATTTCTGTAACTAAACTTATGAAGGATCTGAGACAATCATCTTGGAGCTATGAGCACAGGTCTTCACCACTCAGTGCTGTTCACTGTTACTAGTTGAGGTGTATGTTCTCATTGCATGATTAGGTTGCCTTTCCACTACTAATAATGATAAGTGTATGATGGTTTTCATGGAATTCAAGGTCAGAAGTGGCTGAGGTCATCTGTTCTTTGTAAGACAAGTCCATTTAAAGAGCTATCAGAATCTAAATTAAGATGCCTTTCATGTTAGGCAACCCTGTGAAAGTCTGAAATATTTATTTCAAGGGTGCAGTGCAACACAAACACCTAAAACGGGTAAAAATAGCATACATTTTAAGGTTTTTGGAGTCAGATAAATGCATAGACAGTCAAAAGATTCCAGCAGCTAGTAATCTGTACTTCATGCTAGAACTAAATGGGAGGAAGTGTGCCTGTTGTGTGAGGTGGGGGGAACTGTGAATCTGGCAATCAGTTTGTCTGAAACCAGTGAATAAGTCCTAGGAGCCAGGTATGGAAGAGAGGCATTGCTCTACAGTCACTGAATGTTTCACCAGACAGTCTTCTGGGTCTGATGCTTCAAAAGACATGGATGAAAATTGTTTCCTTAGATGATTGGGTGGAGGGAGGTGCTTCTAGACCATGAGACTTGATTGCGTAATAACCTCTGCATAGCTGCAAATGTTAAGTGGTCTGGTTTATGGAGGACATGAATACCTACAGAACTGCCAGTCTTTTCCCAGTTTCCTAACTGGCATATCAGCTGGGAACGTCATTAGATGCCACTATTGCCACTATTAAACTGCAGCCTTGTGACAGATCCCTGAAGTAGGGTATTTTAAAGTTATTCCCCTGCCGCAAACTCCTTCATTGTCAGCATTTAAAAAAGAAAAAATCATCAGTATTTGAGGGATGCAAGGAGTGTCAATCAGTTAAAAACTTTACTCCTTTTATCCATTCAGTGAATGTGAAATTGAAAAGCCACTGTAACCAAATACACTTTTGAGTTTTGTTAAATAGGGGAATCAAAAGCTTATTTGTGCCTTGCTGGTTACAGATAAGTGCCACTTAGGAGACTCTGTTCCTACAGAACAGCTCCCAGCTCTTTAAACTTAAGATTTGGTATTAGTTTGCATTTGGCAGTTACAGTTAATTTGAAGCATCTTTGGTGTATTTGCCAGATTTTGGTCTTGTGTAATAGTAAACTCAGTCACATAAGTGACTGTAAACACATTTGTGTTTACTCTGAGTATGTATATATTTTATATATATTTTATATATTCCACGTTTGTGCCTGTAATCTTCACTTCATTTGATCTAGTTCTGTAAGTATTGCATAACTCTTTGTCGGAGTTCATGGGCATTCAGAACTGACTTAATTCAGTGACTTGAAGCAACAAGACTCAAGGAATTAATTCACTACTCCAGAGAGTGAAATTTGCCATAGAAATATTGAGAGTGTGGGAAGGTTAAAGCTTTTTAGACAGTTTTGAGATGCAGCAAATAAGTCCTGGGGTGGTTACAAGTGGCATGTGCAAATACAGATACTTGTTCTGTGGCTTGTGCAGTATCCCCTGCCAGTCCTGACTTCATAGAGCTGCTAATGAAACACACCTTCTTGGTGTTGTTGGTTTTCCCAAGGAATCACTGAGGTCGTGGTTTGGTGTTATAATAGTAGGGCAATTTCACATGCTGTATTTCCCAGCTACAAATAACCATTTAGCAGACTTCTGAAGGAGCAGTTTCTGAAGAGAACCTTAAGTGGTTGCTTCAGTTAACTGTTTCAGAGCTTATATATTTGAAAAAAAAGTAGTGGTTTTGCTATAGAAGGACAGCACAAACCTTTCTCAGTGTTTAAACTGTGGCTCATTACCCAGGTCCTAGATTGACTGAAGATCTTGAATGTTTCGGCACCCGAGTTATTTGAGACGGAGGTCTTGAGTCTTCAAAGTGGAATGCAGTACCCTACCAAATCTTCAGTTTACAGAGCGGTATATGAGATTTTAGGTGTCTTAGTGGGTGATTTGGGTAAAAAAAAAAAAAAAAAAAAAAAGAAATGTGGGGGTTGCCTAGTGAAAGCCACTGTATGCTAATGTACATAAAGATATGCTTGAAGTGCAGCTCAAAGCTGCAGTGAGGCATCTGGATCCCTTTTGGGGTAAGGCACCTTTCCAGTAACTGAAGGAGGTCCCTCCTCTCTTAACAGGGGGGTGCAGGAGCAGGTGACACTCATCTTTTGGAATTGCCTTAACTAATGTTAAGCTGTTGAGCTGGGAAATGGTAGACCTAGATTCTGTTCTCTCCTCAGTGGCCAGGTGTCCAATTCAACATCTGCCACGTACCCAGGAGGGCACCTTAGCACTAAATGTCTAGACAGGACTTGTTCCCAACTTTCTCTTGAAGTTATGCTGCTGTGGAGAGGTGTGAATCTCTAGCCTGTGGGTTTAGGCACTTCTGCTAGCCTTGTTTTTGTAGGTATGGAAATCATGTTCTAGGTGAATTAAAAAGTTGTAGCAATAGCCTTTGGCTTCAAGCCTCAGGCAAGCTCTTGAACTTGCAGGATTAGTGCTCTGTTGGGTCATAAATAAAAGTTGCACACCACTCAATTCTTGTTAGAGGAGCTGTTTTCTTTCAGGTGTTCTCACTAAGTTAACTTCCTGATAGACCTGACACCGCTGGTTTGTTAGGAATGCCAGGGTTGGCACCTAGAGGATATGTGCTACAGCTGCTGAGCCTTACACTCGTTGTTCCTGTAGGCTTCAAGCAGAAGCTTCTCAATTCTGAAAAGGTATGAAGGGGAAAAAAAAACCTACAGGGACTTAAGGATCTTCCTAGTCAAAAAGGAGGTGCCTAGTAATGTTATGTGGATGCACAGGGTTATTGTTTGGTCTGTTGACTGGGCTTGTGTTGCTGTTGCACTGGTGTTCCTCCAGCCTGACTCCAGATAGGTTTGTGGTGTTACAGCGCTGCCCTTGATTTTTATTTTTTGGACTTAGGTAGTTTCCTTTCAGCATTCTTCCCTTTAAGCAGCACCTCTCAGGGCTGAGCTCTGCTGACTCAGACTGCTTGCAAAAGGCATTCTGTCTGGAGCCTTAGGAGTTAGTGTTCTCCTGTGGTAAAGTTGATAGTTCTTGTCCCATGAGTGGGCTGCACTGTAGCAGAGTATTTTTTAAAGATTCCTAAAAGATTCAGGATATGTACCGGCCTGTAGTTAGTTCTGCTCTTTTTTTTTTCCTAGTTCCTTTTTTAATAATTTGTTTTACAGCATAGCTTTACAAACAGTTGTGGGAACATACGGTGACTGCAGGTCATTAAAAGTATGTTGCTGGAAGTATGAAAATACTACAGTAGCAAGAATGAAAGATTAGCACAGAGCAGGCATTTTTGCAGTCTTCATCACTGTAGAATACTGGATTTTTATACTTTATCTTTGAATGTAGTTCGATTGCCTGAATAGAATAACTGACTCAGCAGATTTTGTAAGCAGGCTTTGCATTTACTGCACCAGGAAGCTTGTGTACTCATTGATAAAGTGTAGCCTTAGGGCATTTAAGAAATCCTTGTGTAGTGTAGAAATTAATCAAGTAGGAATACTTACGCCTTTAAATAATAAATGGCTCTCCTGGTCAACAGAATTAAAAAAAAAAAAACAAAAGCAAAAACAAACCCAAAACAAAACAAAAAAAAAAAAAACAAACCCACAAACCAACAACACAAACAAACAAAAAAACCACAAACAAGCAAAACCACCAACAAAAGATCTTTTATGACTAGGCGTTGCTCTTCTGTCTTACTGGATTGACTAATTGGAAGTTGCATCTTTGAGAGATGAGGCTTTGCTCTAGCTGGTAGTAGACTTCTTTGTCTGGCCTGAACTGTGTTCCTTGGGGTCCTCCTGTGTGCCTGAACACCTGCTGAGGTCAGACTTGAGGTTACCTGTGGTCTGAATGTTCCTCCTAGTGGCTGTGAAGAGTTCATGTGGACTGG